CGTCGTGTAACATAGAAACTATTTGAAGAAGTACAAGTCACATATACAAAATATATAGTCGGATATACATTTATAATAAGTGACATAAAATTATAAATATAATTTTATCTATAATTTGATCGCAAATTGTAGATTATCTAAGTGAGCTTAATGCGCTATTTTATAAATATAAAAGACGCAACAAATATACACAAGGTATAAATACCCATGGTTAGTCAATTCTACCTGGTACAATGAAAATTGAAAATCTATAAGCGCTATGAATAGAGTCGTATCCAACCGGATAGGCAAACAAACCTTATGCACACATATATAAATAACATAAATTATTACTTAACCTACATATTCGATATCGTATTTCTTTGTAATACAAGAAATTTTCTCATCTATAATTGTATTTATAATTTGATACATAAAAAATTGGATAGCTCTTCCCAGGTCAAAGTTAAACGAGCTAAAATTAAGGTGGTAAAACAAAATAACATTTATTACAATATTATTTAATCAATAATCTATAATCATGAAACGTTTCCACTTATCTTCAGCCATAATACAATAAATATAATATTTAAAAAACCCCATAAATGTGTAACCACAAAAATTTAGAACATACACTAAGAAAAAGATAATCTAAAAATATATTTGTGAGAAATACATTTATTTCACTGAAATAAATATTTATTTAAATATGAGCGAAATAAAATTTTATTCCTAGCAAATAAGCCAACTATTTTATTTTTTTGCAATTAATGAGATATATTTCACAGAAATGAAATATATTTCAGAGAAATAAGATATATTTCACAGAAATGTATATTTCGTCATCACAATAAAATTTCGTAAGTAACATTTACTTCACAATACTTCGACGTTTTTCTCTCAGTATACTAAACATTATAATATTATAAGAATCATCTCACTACCATTTACAAAAATTTTTGAAACGACCTTGTCATTATTATCCAATTTTTTATTTCAGTTGCATAGCATCGTACGAGCAAGAAGTTATTAAACAAGTTTAAATCTTTACTATTGATACATAAAATTATAAACAGAATTCTGTCGTAAATTATAGATCGACTTAAAACAACAGAAGATATAACCAAGATCCTTTTCTTCCTTCGAAAGAGCAAAAGGTTACAGTAAAGACGAAAAATAAGAGAATAAAATCCAAGATTGGAGAGAAGGAACAAAAAAAAATTGCGTTTCTCTATGCAGGAATAAATGCAGCGACCACGGCCGCGAGGTCGGAACGGTGCCGCGCGTTTTCGGGGCCGCAGCTTTTCTACGCGCGAGAACGAGAGAACGGCGATACCGCACGGCTCCGCTTCTTCTTCTCTCTCTCTCTCTCTCTCTCATCCTCTTTCCCCTCGCTCGCTCCGGTGAACGTGGATTATGTCATGTAACGCGCGTCCGCGCGATGACTTATCGGCCGACGTCGTCGAGGTCGCCGCGACGACTCTGCGAATAGGTCGGCACGCGAGACTCGGTATCGCGCATCGTGACTTTTTGCGACGTTTTTCTTTTTCCTTTTTTTTTTTTGCGTCGCTGTAACTCGACGCTCGCGCTGAACGACACGTTCCCGATGAAATGTAAAATCTTGGTACAGTATTCCGCCGCATGACCTGAGCGGAATGTGTCAGCGTCGCAGTCATTTTACGTCGATCCTTTCACTTTGAATTTTGTAAACGGAGATGCATCCTTATATCAGTTGCGTCAGAGAAACCGTCGAACATAAAAACTTGTTGAATGCTCGAATATATAATTAACCGCACTCTAACGGATATTTTCTAATGGCTTCGTTCAGCAGAAAAACAACTTGAAACTGTTGTAAATTTTTTAAATATAATTGGTCTCGGTTCTTATAATTCCTCACTGGATTTAAATGCGTAAACTACTCTCTAAAACTTAGAATCTCACTTTAAAGAGTCAAATCTCTTACAGATTGAAAATGGAGCCACTCTTTTTCAAGACTGACACAGTTT